CAAACGAAACCAAAACAAATATGAAAAACAATCAATTTTAAGTAATTTGCAAGCAACAACTTTGGAGTGTAAACGAGAAGGAACGTGTGAGTCGCTTCTGGGGACGCGACTCTACTTATACCCGTACTCAGTCAGTATATACATTTTTGAGCTTATGATTTTTTAGAATATTAGAATTAAAAAAAAAATTTACATTTTATTTTGCTACATATGTTATCTACATATACATACACAATGTATATTCTACATATAACATGTAGATTGTACATGTACCATTTAGATTCTACATCTCCTCCGCTGGGGGTTGCTCGCGCACTGAACGCGGCATGGTGAGAGAGAGTGAGCGAGAAAGAGAATGAGTGGTTGGTTTCTTGCTGGATGGGGTGGGGGAACCAACACAAAATTAATTTCTTTATTCTGGCTATAATTATGATCCGATCTAATTCAGATTCGGCAATCTGGTAGATATGGGCATTCTCTACGATCCTGCGTTCTTAGTTTTATCGTTTCTTTAAAAATGTGCCTGCCACAGATTTTCGTTCTTTGTGTGGACGGAAGGGGGCGGGGCGAAATTTTGAAATACACTTGTAGCAGTGTGATATCACATGAGTCTGTAAACCAAATTTGGTTGCTCTAGCTAGTGTGCGATGGGGCTAATTGAAAAGTTTATAAGTCAGTCGGGATCAGTTGATGCTCATCAACCATACTTACTTTATGGGGCCGCAAACGCCTTTTGGCTGTAAAACAGCGGGCTGAAAAATCAAAATTTTTTAATCTTATTTCGGCTCGGTATAGAGCAGTTGTATTAAGGGATTCTAAGGAGAGGGTAAACAAATTGTTTGAAATCGGTTAACGTTTGGCCCTCGCTCATCGAGTATGAAAAATTTTCTTTTGGCCCAGTAAGTCAAAATTTGGGTATATAAGTAGTTCAAGAGTCAGTACTCCTTAAAAAAAAACCGTTCATAGACCGTGAATTACACTACTCAACAAAATTTAACTTTTTCTTTCGGCTGTGGACCAAAATGACTTTTTCTGATAGATTTCGGTATTTAAAACTTTTTGTAGTACTTTATTTTTTTTTTATGGTCTAATTTTTTTTTAAAGAAATGTTAAAATCTGGTATTTTTTTTTTTAATGGTTTTCTTCAGAGGTAGTGCTTCTATTCTTCACATAACTTAAATATCTTATATCTGGTTGCATAGAACTTTGCAGTTCTAAAAAACTGACAAATGCAGCTTTAAATCCGACCCAGACACTTTGTATCTGCAGCTTAACGCCTGGTATTTTTTCCGGAAATTTTACCTTTAAAATTTCGGGAAAAGTCGAAAAAAAATTCTTGCCATGCATTTTTAGTTTTAGATAGACACATTAATTAGGCGTCGTTTAAGGTATTGTTCATTAAAATCTATGGATAAACGGTGAGCTAAAATTCGTTAACCAATCCTAAAACTATAAATCTATAAGAGAAAAGTCATTTTGGGCCACAGCCTAAATGTCGTGTTGACTAGTGTTATATACAATTTAGGTGCAAAAACTAACTAGCAGTCGAATATGGTTTTTTTTCAGAAAATGTCAAAGTTTCGTGTTTTCTTATACCAAGTGATGAAAAGTGCAAAAAGTTAAAAAAAAATATAACTTTTGAAACTTTTGAAATACAAAAAAAAAAAAAGAGAGGAGACAAAACCGGTTTTTTCTGGACGCATCGCATACACAAAAAGTAGTTTGCATGTGTTGGGCCTTCGGTATGCTGTGTACACACCACAAGGCGTGTAGATGGATACAAGAATTGGTTTCCTATGCTGGGAACAATTACAAAAACAAAAGAACGCGGAGCAATGGGCTTTGGCTGCCATTTTTTAAAACATGGCTTTATTAGCCGCTTTCGGCGTAAAAAAACGAAGGAACATGGCAGAACTTTTCATGTATTAATTTCGTTTTTTTTTTTAAATGAATTTTTCATTTATTGCGAAGCTATATAAAAGGTTTACCACAAAAAAACCAAAATAAGTAATGCCTGTGAAAACCAATCATATCAGAACTAACCAGCACATTGAGCAACTTATAGATCGCCATCTTCCAAGAAATGGCTAAAAAGTGGTACATGAATTCTCACCAAGTTTATAAAAATGGATAAAGAACACGCCCGACAAAACCCCAAAGGCAGTTGGTCCCGCAGTGATAAAGAAAGCTAGTGCTTTTGCAGCCTATTTACAAAATGTGGTCTAGCCGAAACCTGCCACTAATTTATTTGTGCTCCCAAAATCAACACGTGAAAATTTGCGTGCTCCTCAAGAACCTATCGAATTCCGGCCAAGTGAAATCCTAAAAGTAAGCGTAGAGCAACTAAAGCCCCGAAAATCACCGGGCTTTGACCTATTTAACTCTAAAAATGTTAATAGAATGATAATAGAAATCCCAGGTGCGCGGTTATACACGTCTGCCATGTATGATTTGTGTGTTGGTATCTATTTTTAAGCGCTAACATGCGAAAAATTGGCTTGTCTGCGGCATCGCAGGTATACAAATAATACATTTACATTTTTTTATTTATTTTCAATCCAATTAGGTTATAAATTAATTATAACATTAATACCAAGCGTGAAATTGATCATTAAAGTGTTTTATCGACCAAAATATAAATAAAGCGTTGTGTTGAGCTTCTAGACATTAAAGCAGCGTACAATTGTTGCAGACTAAATTTTAGAACATTTTCATGAACATATGCAACTTAATTTGCTCAGAAGGTATTCATTTTGCAAGTTGAAATGACCAAATGTCCCACTACGCCGTGAGATAAAACGCAAGCACCTTACATGATCACATAACCAAAGTTGGAGTGCCTCAAGGCAGAGTTATCGGACCAATCGTCAACATCCTGTACACGGCGGATATCCCTAAAAATAAACCAGGTAACAACCTAAAAGTTTTCTGATGACAGTAAAGGCAACTGTCCCACTATACCGCCTTCTTTTAAATGTGGAAAGACTGCTTGCAGATTGACGCATACAAATAATCGAACAAAAAAATGCAATCATGTTACTCAACAAACAAAGCTGCCTTCCTTTCGTTCTGAGCAATGCACGCATCCCGTAAGCGCCTATCTGGACAGGCGGCTCACCAGACGTAAGCACATAGAAGCCAAGAATACGCATCTTTTAATTAAATTAAATAAAATATTCTCCACTGGCTAATAAACACTTGCTCTCCCTTCAGCTTGGACTAAAAAGCCCTAATATACAACTCCGTTCTGAAACCTTAAAATTATAGCTCAGAGCCATGGGGCAACGCAAGCAGAAGCAATGTCGACATTATCCAGCGAGCACAGTCCTGAATCCTGTGAACCATTACTCGGGCACCTCCGCAACGAAAATATCCACAGAGAACATCACAATCGTTACAGAGGAGATACTGAAACAATAATCAAAACAGCAAGCCAAGCTCCCTTTCCCTCCAAATCCCCATGCAATATCGCTGCTACGAGTTTGCAGTCACAGCACAATAATTAGCCAACCAAGCGACCGACTTTCTAATAGGGTTGCAATTAAACTAATTGTAAAATTAATTAGAATAAGATTTGAGTTATTGTTAGTCCTTTATTTAAAAGTGGAGATGGTGATAAATAAATATGTACATATGTTATAGAAAATAAAAAAAGTTTCTTGACCCATTCCTTCCTTCAAGTCAGAACCATTTCGTCTGCTGCTGTCACTGATCGGTTTCTCTTAATTCTTAATTAGTGGTGTCATTTAAATGTTAATGCATCCAGGATATACATTTTTAATATATTTATAAGTTTTGTCGTGGCAGTGGATGTGTGTAACACCTAGAAGGAAGTGTTTCCGACACAAAAAATTTGTGTAACGTAACAGTCAATTTGAGACTTCCAAACCTCTTAAATAACAACGCTTACAGAAATATACAAGGTTGACATTTTGAATTAAAAACAATAAATATTAAAAATACACAGTTTCATGTATTTTTGCGACAATTTCCGTCAAAATATGCATGCAAATGAAATGTAACAGTGCGTGATTTTGACCGAGTCGATATACCCACATCGACACATTGTGAAAGTGAAAATCGGAGAATGTATTGCATTAAGTCCCCCATAAAACCGATTTGATAACACAAGGGAACAAAATTAAACTTTTAGTGTGTTGATTTAATCAATTGATTGATCAATCAGTCATTGAAGTTTTTACTAATTTGAGGTCGCTGGGGGAAGCAACTAAAAATTAATCTCTTTATTCTGGCTATAATAATGATCCGATCTGATTCAGATTCGGCAATCTGATAGATATGGTCTCTACGATAATGCGTTTTTAGTTTTATCGTATCTTTAAAATTGTAGCTCACACAGAACTAGGCGCTCATTAAGACGGACAGACGGACATACAGACATGGCTATATCGACTCAGCTATTGATGCTGATCAAAAATATATAAACTTTATGGGGTCCCCTTTTACCACAAATCGAATATACCACTTAACTCTTTGAGTACGGGTATAATAAATTGTTAAGTATATCAACATAAACTTAAAACAGGGCTAGGCACGGCCCTATCTATTGCGCTTAGGAAAATGCGCTGCTGCCGCTCACGTACAAGTGTATCACAGTGTGTGGCACCAAACAATGTACCGTTTTGCCTGCTGTTTACGCACACAAAAGCACTGCAAAACATGTGCGTGTGTGTGTGCCGAGCACTGACATAAAACATCAGCAAAAATGTTTACATAAAAACATGTATATGTGTGTATATGTGCTGTGTAATTCATTTTTGGAAATCGTAAAAATTCTACGATTTGTGAAAACCGGAGCATACATTTTTGCGATTGAAAGGGTGATTCGCGATTTTCGATAACCGGAGCAATATACATACATACATTTGTATTAATATAGGTCATAATTAGTATATTAAATGGGTATATGTATAATAAAAGTGAAAACTCGAAAATAGCAAAAAAATATTCCCACTAATTTCCAACTTCTTATATTTCAGGTTATAAATATTGAAAAAATGGCTTCAACATCGGATGATGGATTAGTGCTGAGCGGTTACCAGAAAAAACTGAAAACAATGAAAAAAAAATTTTTTGTTTTGTATGAAAAAACGAACAATTCAGCTGCACGTTTAGAATATTACGATACAGAAAAAAAATTTATGCAAAAAGCTGAACCAAAACGAGTTATTTATTTAAGTAGCTGCTTTAATATAAATCCACGTTTTGATACAAAACATAGGTTTGTTATTGTATTATCCTCAAGAGAAGGCGGATTTGGAATTGTGCTCGAATCTGAAAATGATTTACGTAAATGGTTAGAAAAATTAGTATTCTTGCAACGCCATCAGTCAAATACAAATGGTCAAATGCAGTCAACATATGGTAGGTTGAATTAAAATAATTTTATTTATTATAAGGTGACTAATTTCAATCAACTTCAAAACGGAATTGCTAGGAAATTAAGATGGTGTCTCGTTATCTCTTTTGAACCCGATGACTGCTTACACCAAGCATGTCCATTAGGCTGGGCCAAAATTTGAGCAACAAATTTCTGTTTTGTTTTCAAGGGGACACCCCCCAATTCGGTTCTTTGTCATTCAATAAAATTATAAAATTTTTTTCAAATTTTTAGTTTAATGTTTGGGGGTTGCTGCCACGAAAAGAAAATACAAATTTTGGGGTATATACATTAAAAAAATTGAATTCATCGGTTTTTTAAAATAATATTGAAGCTTAGAAACTAGTTCATATTGATAATAAGGAATTTTTATACCCGTACTCAAAAAAGAGTTAAGGGGTATATTAGATTTGTGGTAAAAGTGGATGTGTGCAACGCAGAGAAGGAAACGTTTCCGACCCCATAAAGTATATATATTCTTGATCAGCATCAATAGCCGAGTCTATATAGCCATGTCCGTCTGTCCGTCCGTCCGTCTTGATGAGCGCCTGGATCTCAGAGACTATAAGAGCTAGAGAAACCAAATTTGGTTTCCAGACTCATGTGATATCACACTGCTACAAGTGTATTTCAAAATTTCGCCCCGCCCCCTTCCGCCCACACAAAGGACGAAAATCTGTGGCAGGCACAGTTTTAAAGATACGATGAAACAGTACAGTATCGTAGAGAATGCCCATATCTACCAGATTGCCGAATCTGAATCAGATCGGATTATAATTATAGCCAGAATGAAGAAATTAATTTTCAGTTGCTTCCCCTCCCCCTCCCGCCCACGACAACACAACTCATTTTCCTTCTCGCTCGCACATTCTGCCGCGTTCAGTGCGCGAGCAACCCCTAGCGGAGGAGATGTAGAATCTAATTGGAACATGTACAATCTACATGTTAGATGTAGAATATACATTGTATATGTAGATGTAGTCAGCATATGTAGCAAAAAAATGTAAAATTTTTTTTTTTTTCCAAAATTCTTAAAAATCATAAGCTCAAAAATGTATATACTGACTGAGTACGGGTATAAGTAGAGTCGCGTCTCCAGAAGCGACTCACACGTTCCTTCTCGTTTTTTTCTTAGTTAGTTTTAAAAAATTAACGATTGGTGAAAATGGAGAAGCTCAGCTGAGGTTAATATATTTAGTTAGCTAGTTCGCAAAAATTTGTGCAGGGTTTTTACTGCCAATAACTGATTAATGCCTACATATATAAAAGGTATCAATATATTTGCAATAGATTTCTCCAATTACACTACTCGACAAAATCGACCTTTTTTTTCCTCAAGGATCCAAACCGACTTTTTCTGATAGATATGGATAAAAGAATTATTTTTTTTTTTTTTATGGCAGAACTTTTTTTGAAGAATTTTTGAAGTCTGGTATTTTTTTTTAAAGCTTTTTTCAGAGGTAGCGCTTGTTTTTTTCACATAACTCTAGTATCTTACGTCCTGTTGTAAAGAACTTTGCTATTTTGAAAAGATAAAAAGCAAACGAAAAAGGGTTGTACATTTGGTACCTGATCGCGTTCCTTTGTTCCCAATTGGCAGTTTGTCCCGCAACCTTCCAAAAGGCATTTTTTGTTCATTTTTTCCATATTTTAGGTTTGGTTAACGAATTTTAGCTCCAAAGTCTCTCCATAGATTTTAATGAGCAATACCTTAAACGACGCCAAATTAATGCACCTATACACAAAAAAATAGAGGACACAGGATATAATTTTTTTTCGACTTTTCCTGAGTTTTTAAAGTAAAAATTTCGTAAAAAATACCGCACAAAAATAATCATTTTTGCATTTCAATGCTTTATATTTCCCAGACGGTAAGCTGAAATCACAAAGTATTTGGGCTCAACTTCTAGATGTTTCAATTATCTTTTCAAAATAGCAAAGTTTTTTACAACGAGACGTAAGATACTAGAGTTATGTGAAAAAAAAGCGCTACCTCTGAAAAAAGGTTTAAAAAAAATACCAGTTTTCAAAAATTCTTTAAAAAAAAGTTCTGCCATAGAAAAAAAAAATATCATCAAACTATTTCTAAGCCCCAAATCTTTAAAAAAAAGTTCGTTTTGTTCCTTGAGGAAAAATCGTGTTGACTAGTGTTATCCAACTCATTCAGCAAAAAACTTTTTTTAATTTTCTTGATTAAATATTTTTGTAAAATTCGGTAGCAACCTCTAAAAAATAAAATAAAATAAAATAAAAATATTTAAATTACTATTAAGTCCAAGATATCAAAACTAAGGGCTGTCCCGTTTGAATTTCAAAAAAATTAGCCCAGCTTAATGTCCATGCTATTTAAATCTTTATATAAATCTCTTTTCACGGTATTTCTGGTTTAACTCCTCCTAAACGGCTCGACCGATTCTTATAAAACTTGTGTTGTATATTAATATCATAGGCCTGTGAATATAATAGGTCTGCGAATAGGTCGTTAAGCATTTTTCACCTTCCTACCACGTATTTTGTAATCGCGATTTTAGTGCTTTTGTATCAAGTAATGCTATGATTTAATTGTCAGTGTGTTTTGTAACATGGTCTAATATTTGTCTGTGTGTTTGTTACATTTTTTGTAAATTTGGTCAATTTGTGCGTGTTACAGAGTACCGAGAACAATGCCAGCAAGACGCAACGATATTTTTGGGACTACCAATTTTGTTTTAAACGTGATATTTAATAGGATTTTTACAGTATTAACTCGCATAACTTCAACAAGAAACTATGTGTTGGTGAAGTCGATTCCTAGCCCCCGCTGTAAAGCATGATTTCGGGTTGTCATAAGAAAGGGTGTAACCGAGGGTCATACGTATACCTCGGAGGAATTCGGTATTCGCTTCGTCCGGTCCGTTAGAATCAGCGACTCAGCTTTCTCATAATATTGATTCTGAGCGACTGAACAAAGCTGGTCTCGCCATTTTTGCAGTGTCAGATCCGAAAAATTCAGTTTTTACTTCGCTCACTATACACGTCATTTTGTGGTAGAGAAGATGAGAAAACAACATAAAAACGAGAAGGAACGTGTGAGTCGCTTCTGGGGACGCGACTCTACTTATACCCGTACTTAGTCATTTTTGAGCTTATGATTTTTCAGAAATTTAGATTTAAAAAAAAAATTTTACACTTTGAATTTTTTTGCTACATCTGTTATCTACATCTAATATGTACATTGTACATGTACCATTTCGATTCTACATCATCTCCGCTAGAGGGCGCTCGCGCACTGAACGCGGATGAGTGTGCGAGCGAAAAGCAGAATAAGTAGCGGGTCTTATTCTGCAGAAGGCGGGGAAGCAACTGAGAATTAATTTCTTCATGCTGGCTATAATTATGATCCGATCTGATTCAGATTCGGCAATTTGGTAGATATGGTCATTCTCTACGATGCTGCGTTTTTAGTTTTATCGTTTCATCAAAATTGTGCCTGCACAGGCCGAGGCGAAATTTTGAAATACACTTCTAGCAGTGTGGAGTCTGGAAACTAAATTTGGTTTCTCTAGCTCTTATAGTCTCTGAGATCCAGGCGCTCAGTACGGGTATAATTAGCTGGTTTTCACACACATCCACTTTTATCACAAATCTAATATACCCCTTAACTCTTTTTTGAGTACCGGTATAATTAGCTGGTTTTTATTCCCGTACTCAAAAAGTATGCAACGCAGAGAAGGAAACGTTTCCGACCCCATAAAGTATATACATATATTCTCGATCAGCATCAGTCGAAAAATCTCGTGTGTGTGCGTACGTTTTCTTGCTTTAAACTGAAAAAAAAATTAGATTCAGATTTAACAAGAAATTTTTTGCACCAAGTAGAAGAAAAATATTCGTTAAACATTTTTTTCAGTGCAAAAAAATACCGAATGTGCGTATCCGAAGGCACACGAAATCCGTAGCATGTTTCGAGTCAATTCAGAAACATGCGAACGAAATATGCTGATATTAATCCGCCGTGCTCGAAATCGGTTGTGACTTATTGATGGATTCGTAATGATCAAACACATTAAAGGGGGCATGAGGTGGAGTGAAAAGTAACCTCCTTGGGAATGAAAAAATTTAATTTTTTTAATTTTGTTTTATTTTATTCAATGTAGTCCCCTTTTTACGATACACTTAGTCCAGCGATTTTCTAATTATTTTATCCCGTCCTAAAAATAATTTTCCGAAAGGTCTTTAAAATACTCCTCCTCGGCGTCGATGCTCTCTTCGTGTCAGCTGAATTTTTATTTTAATGAGCTATCTTTGGAGGTTTGGGAAGAGATAATAATCCGATGGAGCCAAATCAGGCGAAGAAGGTGGATGGGGAAGCAATTGGAGCCTGGCCTGACACTCTTTCGAAGTTAGCGTTTGTGGTCTGGAGTCAGCAAACGTGGATAACTTTTTCATATGCATAATCTCGCTCAAAAATTGGCGTGTGCGCTTAGTACTAATCCTTGTGGCATCTGCTTGCTCGCGCACCTTCACTTTCCGGTCAGCCAACACCATTTCATTTATTTTTTGACATTTTCCTGTGTAACCTTATCAGTAGGCCTGCCACGTAGGACTTCATCGGCAGTGGAGTTTCGGCCACCATGAAATTTTCGAAAACAATATTTACCGGTGTAATTGGAAAAAGCATTAGCCACCATAATATTTATCCAAATTTTCTTTTTCATTCTCCGTTTTGTCTCCAATATATTCTTTTTTATAAGCAAATAAATTTAGTGACAAACACCTTGTTGTGAGCTGTGACGGAGTCCGTAAACGACCTCAGCTTGCCAACCGATAAATTCGCTCGCTCCAGCCCAAACACCTCTCTAATGTGAGCCTGTAGGGAAGGGTTTTCACTTTTAGTAAGGCAGTACCGAACTAGTAATAGCTACATAAAAATTCGACTCCAATTTGTCCAACAGATCTAGAAAGCCTTTCAGATCATACTCGTCCAAGCTTCGCAACTTTTCGA